CAGAGGCCTGGGCTAGTGGTTCCTGAAAGCTAAAAATATGTGTTTTGGGTATCTCATTACTGCAAACTTATCATAATAAGACGTATAAGCAACTGGGTGGATGTTACAGGTCTGTTCATCAAGCTTTTATTTCGGGAAAATAAAATCAACAACAGAGAAAAACTAATTGTTACAGGTTCACATGATGGAATATTAAGCTGTCAACAATTATGTGGTATAATAGTATTTATATACAGAAAAATATATTCAAAGTATTTGCCTACAGATTATAAAACAATGTGGAGAGCTCCCACTCTACACAACAACATTTAGAGTAATATCTGGCCTCTTCCAAACTCTTACCAGTGGTTGTCTCTGGGTGGTGGGGTCAGGATGTTTGATTGTTTTGTTTTGTGCTTCTCTATATTTTCTCACTTTTGTAAAAATGTCTTTTTCTTGTGTAACCAAAGTACAGGTGGGTGTGGATGCCGACTGGCTGCTGCCTGGGCCCCGTTCCCCCACCGGGGAAGCTTCCCCAGCGCAGCGGCTGCCCCGACAGTGCAGTGGCGGAGCCGGCATGGGAAGAGTGACCGGGCAGCGCCGGGCGAGCAGTTTCGAGCCTAATAATAATGGCAACAACTCAGCACTTCACAGAGCACTTCCATGCACATTATCTTATGTGCATCCCACCCAGACCCTCTCAGGTCACATCATCTCCCTTCTATAGGTAAGCGGACAGACTCCAGCAGGTTAAGTGCTGCCCTGCCCTCCTCCACAACAGCAGGGAAGTGGGGGAGCCAGGATCCAACACAGGGTTCCTGATCTTCAGCCACTGCACTCCACTGCCTGCCCACGTCTGTCCATCGCAGCATCTTACATTCGCTCGTGTGCCTGTCTCGCTCCTCCACTGAGCAGCGTTTCTCTAGGAAGCACTGTGGTCTTACCCAAATCTCTGCTCCCAGAACTTAGTATGCTTAGCCACCCTTACATGCTATTGAGTGAATGAATGAATAAGTGAGTGAATGAATATTCAAACCTGGAGCCCTAGTGAAGCAGGTCATCGCAGATCCACAAACCCGTTCTTTGTAGACTGTCTTTTCATACTTACTGTGTTCTTTGTATTAATTTCCCTTTTGTTCTTTAATATTAGCAAAGCCTTTTGGAAGATGGCTGACAACAAGCACTGTCACAGGAAGAGCTCTGTCTGGATCTGCACCAAAGCTTTAAAAAGGCAGGAACACTCCCCCCACCCCCCACTACACACGACAGTAACTGGAGGCAGCCACCGTCGAGGCCAAAGGCCCAGGGGAGCAGCCGCGGTCAGCTCCCCTCCCTGCCTGGGGAAGGCCCAGTGCTTGGAAGGACTGGGGTTCCACACACTGAGCCATGTGGAGCACACACCCTCCCAGGCCCCAACCCAAAGAGGATCAGGTTCAAGGGTGAGCTGTGCATACTGAGGCTGGCCAATCAGGGAAGTCATCCTGGAGGAGAGGCCTGGGAGGCTAGTTTAGGAAGGGGAGAAAGCCAGAGCAGAGGGGAGAAAAGCAGGCAACATGCCTGGGCAGTTGGGCCCTGGATGATTTAAGTACAACCAGATGTGCTGGGAATCGCCTGTCAGGCGGAGCCCCAGTGAGGGCAGAGTGGGGGTGGGGAGATCTCTGGGCCGCTTGCATTTCCAGTTCCCCTTTCTGCCCTGAGTCTGTAAGTTTTAGGGTCAGGAGAAGCCCAGTGGGGTTCCAGATGAGCTGGCATGTAAGACAGTGAGCCGGGCACCCTTATGTGGGTGGAGTCTTCTGCCGTTGGACTGGGTTTAGGAAGGGAAGGTCCTCCAGGAAGCAGGGTATTGGGCCCAACACTTGGAACCTAGAAAAAAGGGTTAACAGTGCCCTAAGGTAGGAACTCCTAGTACCGCAGGGGGTGAGGGATAGCTAGGAAGGCCTCACAGAAGACAGCATGTAAGTTGGGTTCTGAGGGATGAATAGGAGCTCCCAAGACAAAATAGTGGAAATGACAGTGCAGGCAGAGAGACTCCGAAGCATTACAGTGGTGTGGGTGCTGAGCGATAGGTTCTGCGGGACCGCATTATGAAGCTGTGTGTTCAGTTTGGTGTGCCGGCCCCAGCCTGTGCTGCAGGATGGGGGCGGGGTGGGTATGCTTCTGCTCACCCACCAAAGGGCAGAATCAGACGCCGGGTGGGGATTTTGGAAGTGGGCACCAGGATCCCCAAGTATTGGGCTCCTAGGGGAGAGGGAGGGGCTAATGGCAAGTCCCAGTGCCTCCTCCCAAGCCTTGTGTGGTCTGGCACAGAGCTGGATCTGCCCAGAAGAAGGGACACTTTTTCTAATTCTTCTGGAAGCTCTTAAGGGCCTCTACTCTGGCTGTGGAGTGGGAACTGGACTCAGACACAGGCAACGGCACACGGAGAAGGCAAAGCTGGGGCAAGCACACAAACAGTAAGAGTGCGGGTGGTTGGACAGGGCTGGCGAGGACGAACAGCCAGAAGAGGGCTAGGGCTTCCAACTGTGGGGATGAGGCCGAGCCCAGTGAAAGTGGGGACCAGTAGCAGCCAGCTGGGTGTGGTATCCTCTGGGTGCGCACCCCAGTCCCCCGGTCCGGACACACTTCCTTCCTTTCCTGATTCTTAACGACTCCTGAACGGCCCATACAAGAGGACCACAAAGACAGCCCTCCCCGCCCTTTCCTCTTCCTCTCTTCCATTTCTTTCTCCCCTCCTCCCCCCACCCCATCCTTCCCCAAGGCCCTTGTCTTTCCTTCCTCGTCCCATTGCCTCCTCCCCCTCCCTCCCTCTCTGGCTTCACACATCTTCCCTCTAACTCTCTTCTCTCCCTTCAAAATGCTTAGTGCTGTTTCTCTCTGGGCCGGCTGGGTTATTTTTCTTGATGTTGGCAGACAGGCCCTGTCGCAAATCTCTGGACTGGGAAGACCATGCTCTCACACACCGCTGCATGTACAGGCGCGTCCACACCCACGCCCAGCGCCTGCCACCCCCAGGAGCAGGGTGGCGGGTAGGATTATCTACCTTGGATGTGCTACAAGCCAGAGGACCCGGAGAGAAGGAACAGCACTCTGCTGAAGCCTCGCATTATGGCCATCAGTACCACTATCATTATCCAATCAGTTGCTGGGCACTTGACCTGCTGGGGAATGATCACAAGATGCCCTGACCAGCATGTTCTCCACAGAGGGATCTCAGGGCGCGGACCCGCTGACTGCAGACAGCCAGAGGAGGGTCGGCAGGGAGTCCTCTGAGAACAGACCCCTAAGGCCCTGCTCAGGAGGGTGGAGGGAGAGACATGAGAATGGGCCATTTGCCAAGACTGAGTGTCAGCCCAGGAGGCTGGATGATGTATTAACAGGACTTTAATGAGTTCGAGGCTTGGGGGTCACACTTCATGGCCTGAGTACTCGTGCAGGATGGGGGGGCTGAGGGTGAGGAGACCAACCTTACTCCCACCTACTAATGAAAGCCCTTTATGTGACCCACGCCAATATACCCATCGGAAACAATCTGCACCTCCAAAATGCTGAACCTTCCCTCACAGAGTCCAGCAAAGGTCTCCTCAGCATGCCGGCCCATCCTAGAACCGCACTGGGAAGGACTGCTGGAGGCCTGACCTTGTCCTTCCTACCAGCGCTGGGAGGGCCACTTCCCCCAGGCTCCTGGGGAATGAAGAACTGGACCCCTGACACAGGGGGTCACCTTATCAACTCTCCTCCATTCTCACTCCTGTCATCCACCCGTGCCCTGGCCCGAGTTACGCCCAGCCACATGCTGGGCTTGACCTCCTGCTGCTGGTCGTGGTGGGTGAGGTCACTTAGCTGATGCAGACATCGGTCTTCCCCTTAACTCCTGCCTCTGACTCTCGGGGAGCCTGGTGGGTGCGGCAGGAAAAGCACAGCGGACTCCAGATGCAGCTCAGTCGTGTAACCCGGTTTGTCACTTTCCTTGGGGCCTCAGATGCCTCATGGGTAAGAAATACTCAGCGAGGTCCTCCCACCTCTGTCACCCTGGGACTGTCCCCAGGGTGGTGGCTGCGGCCTGCTTCCTCCTGCCTTTCTAATTCTGAAGCCAGGGGCCGCCCCAGCATCCTGAGCCTTGGAACACCATCTCTGCGCCGGGGTGTGACCCTGGGGGTATGGAGCAGAGAGGATTCTGAGGGTGGAGGTACTGATCTCGGTGAGTTCTAGAGCCTGCTTAGGTGCTGGTCTTGTTTCCATATGTGGGCTGGGAAAAAAGGGCATATTGAAGGGCTCCCCTTTCCCTGCCCCTGAGTGGCACCCACAGGGCAGCCATCACCCAGCACTCTCAGAGGAACCATCACTAGGAGCGTTTAGAATTCTTCAAAACACAGAGGGCAGAGAGCTGCTCTGCAGGCTGGCAGGGAGGGGCGCAGGGGCAAGGTTGTCCCACTGGTGCTCAGAGAGGCCGAATGGAAGGGGAAAGGGGGGGGGGAGACACCTCAGAAGAGAGGACCCTCAAGCACTGCCCTTGGGTGGGAACATACATGGTCTTGGGCCCTCTGGGTGCTCAGCATCTCCAGGAAATCTATCTGGACCCTGCAACCTAAACTCAGCCCCAACCCCCAAAACCCCCCCAACCGCCCCCCCCCTCCCGGCAAAACGGGTTCTGCTGCAGGCCGCTCACTGCAGGCGGCCTTTCCTGACTGGATCTCTTCTGAAGCTGAAGCCTTGTGTCTGTCCGACAAAATCCTGTCTGTCTTTGGACTGAGAGCTCCACGAGGACAGGATGTGCCTTTGGGACCCTGTCGGGTGTCCCCTGCGCCTAGCCCAACCCTTGAGACAGAGAAGATGCTCAGTACAGGATGCATCTGTTGAATGAGCTCCCGGATAGATGAGCGCCGCTGGACACCCCTGAGCAGAGTACAGGCCTGGGGTTCATCTCTCCTCTTCGCCTTTCACCGCTCAGCCTGCTCAGCGCAGGGGGAATGTGGCCCTCTCGGGAAGCCCCCCAGCGAAGCCTGTTATTAGTCACACCCCACACTCCGCTGCCCACGTCCGGGGCTCGCCCGCGGCCCCCGCCTCGGGCCCTGTGTGTCCGGCCCTCCGCCTCCCGGGCGGGCGCGCGGCCGGTCTGGTGCCCGTAGGTGGTCAGGACCCTGGGGGGGCGGGGGACGCGAGCGTGAGTCAACAAGGCTTCGGCCCCGGCGCAGGGGCCGTCCTGGGAGAGGGGGTCTGGGAAGATAGCGGACGGCGGGCCCGGCCAGCTGCCTCCCCATCGGCCCTTCGACCCAGGGAGCCGCTCACACCCTGCGGACACGCTCGGCCGGCCGGGGGCTCCATCCCGCCTCCCCCCGCACCCCAACTTTCCGCCCTGACGGCTGCGCAGAGGGGGCGGGCGGGCCGGAGAGTGGCCCAAGGACACTCTAGCCCAAGGGTCATTTGCTGTCCCCCCGCCCTCCCCCGCCCGCGTGGCTAATTTATTTTCGAGCTCGGGAGGAGGCGGGGCCAGCCGGGAGCGCGGGGAGGCGGGGCCGGAGCCGGCGGAGGTGGGGGCGGGGCGGGGCCGGAGCCGGGGCGGGGAGGGCGCGCAGGGGCGGGCGCTGGGGGCGGGGAGGGGAGCGGGGGTGGGGGTCCTGCCTGCCCGGGGAGCCGGGGCGGCCCCTTGTCCGGCCACCCCCACTGCCCAGTCCCGCTCCCGGCCGCGGCGGCCGCAGCAGTAGCGGCTCCAGGATGGTGAGCGCCGCTGCCCTCCAGACCCGGCCTGTCGCCCCCGGCCCGCGCCCGGGTCCCGGGGCCGGACGCCCCCCCAGGCCGCGCACACTCACCTAGGACCGGGCCGGGATGCCGAGGTACGGGCCCGCGGGACCGGGCTGGGGCAGGCGCCGGGGCGCGCGGCCGGGCCGGGGTCAGGGGGTGGTGACCATTCGGTCGGGGCGTCCGGAGCTTTGTCCGCGGGCGCGGGGCAGTGCAAGGGCGGGAGAGGGAGGGGGCTGAGGGTCGCGGGGTTCAACCAGGCGGGGGTCGAAGGGCAAGGCCAGCGAGAAACCTGTGCGGGTGCGTGGGAGCCGGGGGTCACTCCCCGGGGGTAGGGGCGGGCAGAGAAGGGGATCTGCTCTCCGCCGCCGACGGGCACCCTCTTCGCCGCCCCCTTTGGTGCGGAGGATGCGGGAATAGCGAGCAGCCGGCCTGGGGGGGGGGAGCCTGCGGGATTGGGGGGTGGGGAGCCAGGATCTGAGGGTTCGGGTCCCAGAAGGATCCTGTGTCCGGAGCCGGAGGGCCGGCCCGCAGGCCCCTCCCACTTTGTCAGGTCTTTGTCCAGCGGCCCGTGTGTGTGTGTGTGTGTGTGTGTGTGTGTGTGTGTGTGTGTGTGTGTGTGGTGGGGGCTGGGTTCCTGGTCCGGAGATTCCCCAGCATCTTGACGGGGCAGTGACAGGAGACTGAAGCCACCGAAGCCCTGCGCCCTTAATGCCCGACCCTTCCTTTCTTCTCTTCTGGCCCGGAGAGCACAGACCCCATCTCGGGGTCAGGGTGCTGCGGGAGCCGCACTTACCTTCACTCAGGGGCCACAGGCTACAAGGGAGACCCGCCGAGCTCCCAGCTCTCCAGGCGGAGCCCCTTAAACTTCCCCGATTCACGAGCCCACTCTTGGTCTACACAGATTCCCTTGCTAGGCACACGGTCTGTGCAGGGCCCTCTGCAAAGGGCTGGGCACACAGTAGGTGCTCACCAAATGGAGGCCCCCCTGCCTGGCCCCTCCGCTCCCCGCGCACCTCCCGGGCGCAGGCGGCCTGGGAAGGGGTCTGCGCGGGGGAGAGTGTGAGCGGCCTGGAGCGCAGGGGTGGGTGGACGGGTGGGTGGGCTGTTAAAGGGACGGTCACTAAATCAGGATTAGGCCGTGGGGCTGTCAGGCTGCCTGGCCCTGTTTCCATGGATACCTAATTTGGAGGAGAATAGAGGACGGAAGAATGTTTGTGTTGTAGTCCGCACGGCTGCGGCGGCTGAGCGGTCTCCTGACCCAGGCCCCGCAGTGAGGACCCGGAATCCGGTTCCAACTCCCTTCTGGGCGTCTGCGGCGCGGGGCCGATAGGCACTTCTCGGGGCCCAGAGCGCACTCGTGGACTGGCGGTGCCGGGGTCCGGAGCACTCTGGCCGTGCGCGCGGAGCCCCAGAGCCCCCCAAATGCAGCTTGAAACCCCTGTGCATCTTTCTGGACTCGGCCGGGCTGGGGTTCCTCGGAGCCATAGCACACGCCACCCTCCGCTCTGCTTCAGCCCGGCAGGACGGGCGCGCAGGGCGGCTCGGGGGCCGCGGCGTGGCTGGACCGGGCCGCCAGCCACACCGGTACCTGGTCGCTGCGCGGGCTGCGAGGCAGGAGGAGGGGCCGGGCTTCCCCGGGTGGGCGAGGAGGGGGCGGGGTTTGCCGGCAGGCGGTGCTGCACCGAGTGACAGGCCTCGTAAATCCCCCTTTCCCATATTTAACGCCTTTTCATTTGTTTCTACTTGATTCCATTGGTGTCCACAGCAGCCACCCTTGTACGGAGTGACCCCCGTGCCCTCGCTGTAGTATCTGCTGGGGGAAGGCCCACTTGGGCCAAAGGGAACTTGGCTACGTGAGGCAGTGGAGTAGTTCCTGGAGAGGGCCCGAAAACCCCCATTCCTCAGGGAGACACCCAACTTCCCGGGAGAAGAAGAGAGGCAGAGAAACACGGTCTCTGAGGCCCTGCGAGATGTTCTGGCTTTGGTATAAGGGTGGGCTGGGCCAAGGATCCTGGGAGTGGACACAGTCCACAGACTGGAGGGGTCACAGGAGGGGTACCAGTCCCCAGTGTGTCTCCCAGAGCCCTGACTTGCCTTCCTCCTGGCCCTTCTGGCCACAGCTTTTTATGGGGCAAGAATCCCCTCCCCTCCCCCACCTGCGCTGCAGCTTTACTGCTGAGATCTCAGACTCTCCACGCAATTTCACGCCTCTCTGCCTTTGCTCTTGCTGTTCCCTCAGCCAAATGCCTTCCCCATTGTCCCTGTCTTTCCTCAACCTTCTTCTTATTCTTCAAGGCCCAACTCGGATGCCCCACTTCCTCCTTGTAGCCTCAGCCCTTGCCCTTCCCTCCATGTGCTTCTGGCCCTGCACCTGTGCCGCGCTCCAGCCTGCGTGGCTGAGTCCACACTAGGCTTTGCCTCAGGGATAGAGGGGGAACATATACTTCCCTGCCCCTTGCCCCCATGGGCCTGGCCGGGGGGGCTCAGCACCTTGTGGGCAGCCCATAAATATTTTTTTGCTGAATTAAATGAGTTTTATAAGGACAGCCTGCAAAGCATAGAATCTGGACCTTTTCTGGCAAATAGTTCTGTGCTCCTGGGTGAGTGGAGACCCCTGGGTGGGTCTCTGACTCCACCTCCTTGCTAACTCTCCCCCTCCTCCAAAGTCAGGGAGGACTTTGCCCCTTCCTTTCCCCACAGACCAGCATTCTTTCCCTGCCATTATCATCCTGTTAAACAGAGAGGCCAGTCAGGATCCATATGGATCACATTAACAATTGCTTATTATCTGGGCCAGGACTGCCCCCACTCTCCACCCCCAGCTCCTACTGCTCCAGTTGCTGGGTCCTTAGGAGCCCGGTCTCCCCGCCTCCTCCTCCCTCCACAATTGGTCAGCCAGGGAGGCCAGGGGACAGCCCGATCTCCCCCCCCACCCTGTGCCTTCTAGCAGAACTTTGCTTCTCAAAGAACTCTGAAACCTCTGAAGAACTTTGCTCCTTCATTCACTTGGCTGACAGTGAATGACTCCTCTACCTGATTTAATGAAAACCAGGTTCCCTGCAGGAGCATGACCCTGTGAGGTTTCAGGGCTGCAGCAGGAGAGGTGGGCCCAAGGCCCAGGTGCACCTGTGGTCTGCAACAACCCTTGCTTTCCAGTGGACAGAGGCGAGGCCTGCTAGGCTGGCCACGGGGGGTACTGGTGTATTCTGCCCTCTCAGCCCTGGGCTGGCCCTGTTCCTTTGGGAGCTGACCGGCCAGTGAGGAAGACCAAGGCCGGAGAGACCCTGCAAGGCTGAACAGCTGGGTCCCGAGCCTTGTGCTTCTGTCAAAGATACAAATCCGAGAGTTTCCTGGAGTGGCAGCTGAATTGGGCTTGAAGACTGGGCAGTAGAATTTATGTTGACATGCATGCAGCCCAAGAATACTAGAGATGGAAGGGGGCTTTGAGATTACCCAGTCTGGGAGTCCAGAACTTTCTTTTGATTCCCAGACCCTCTCAAGGAACCAGCAGAGCCGTCCCTGGAAAAAAATGCACTTGCATGGGTTGACAACAGACTTTGCACTCTGCTTTGGAGGGCTCGTGGCCCCCCAGAGTGCAGGGGACCCTGCATCTAGAAGCCCTCACCCTAGTCTAGCCCTCTAGGAAGCGCTGAGGGCAGGGTCGGGCCCATGGTGCCCAGCACTCCTGCCTTCACACGCTGAGCCACCAGGGGTAGCAGATCAAGGTAACTGGCCAGGCTTTGAATGGGAAAGGTTCCCACTGCTCGTGTGGGGGTGTGGGTTCATCATCTCACCTCTGAGTGTGTCACCTGGAGAAAGGAGGTCCGGGGCTTATTTTAAGGATCCATTTGTCCCCAGGAACCAGGAAAATCTAGCTTCTCCAAGCATTTCATAAGCGTCTCGATAAATCATAGCTACCACTTATTAAACATTCTATCTGTTCTCTGTGAAACTGGACCAAGAGCCATGCCTACTTCATAAGCACTATTATGAAGATTACATGAGGCAGCAGGCCGGAGCTGGGACCCCCGAGTCCTGGTCGTGGATGACTGTGGGCCTGTGCAGGCCTGGTCAGAAGTGCAGGTGACAGTGCTCTGAGCTGCCATTGCTCTCCAGGCTGACATTTCCCTGCTTGGCCAAGCCAAGGAGAGGGGGCTGCAGTGGAAGCCACCCGGGCGCCTTGCTCTCTTTTCCTTTAGTACTAAGGTGAGGGCGGTGCACTTCATTCACCTTGGGGACTGGAGGTGGGGTGGGGAGTGCTAATGAATGGGAGGGCTGGGCGGTGGCCACAGCCGAGTCTCCACAGAAGTCTGACCTGATTTTATGGTGACCGATCATGGCCCTCACCCTAGTGGCCAAGCCCTGGGCGGCAGTGACTCTGCCACCAATGAGGTGTAGTTGCCATGGACAAGTCCCTTACTCCATTTGAGTTCGAACCTCTTCATCTGCCAAGTGGGGACAACACTAGTGAGTTCATAGGTGGCAGAGCCCTGGTTTCAAGGAGTGTGCCCCTTTGTCTCTGAAGTATATACGCACCTTCGGTCGCTCCCTCAGTGACTCAGCACCCAGGGTCTCCAGAGAACCACTTCCCAATGTGGGAAGAAGGAGAAAAAGGGCGCGCAAGTGCCCTGGCTGTGGCAACTCTGTCCCAGCCATGTTTGGAGCTTTCTCCAAAGGTGTCAGAGGGTGAGGAGAGGACAGCTGCTTGGCTGTGTCAGTACCCTGACAGGGGGAGCAGACCTCCCTCTCCCTGCCCCGACAGACTTGGGTCACTGGATCTCCAGCCCAGTGCAGGGTTAATCAGGACGGATGGGATGGTGTGGCAAAGAGGCTGCATTTTGCTCTAATGAGCCTGCGTTGAGCACTGTGTCCCAGCACTGTGCAGGGTCCTGGGTGCACCTTAGCCAGGCTCCAGAGGGTGCCCAGCTTGGGTTGGGATTCCTGGGTCCTTAAATTTCCCCACGCACCCACCAGGTGCTTGTGTACCAGGCCCTGAGCCGGTCTTCACACCTTGGGCCTCCCGTAACAACCCTCAGCTTCTTGAGTGGCCAGGAGGGTCAGAGCTCACCCCTGGCTCTGGTGTCGTTTGCTTTGCCGCAAACACCTAGTGCCAGGCATAGCCGCACGCACTGTGCACTCAGCAGGGCCCTGTGTCAGGCCCTGGGTGTTTTATCCAGGTAACCATTCCTCCAACATCCACCCTGAAGAAGCATACGAGATAGCTGGGGACCAGTGAGGAGGCAAAGGGACAGGCTGCACTTCCAGGACCATCTCCTTGTAGTCCCTTTGCAGAGCGGAGCCCTGAGGCTGTGTGAGCCGGGCAGTGGCCCACTCAGAGCTGTGGAATGGGTGCGGGATGGGTCGGGAAAGGAGAGGCTCCGGCCGGAATTTGACAGCAGGGCCTGGCATCATTGGTGGAGTTTCCGAGACTGTGTTTCCCCAAGTGGAGGCTGTTCATCAGTGACAGAGACTCTAACTCTGTGGGAATTAGTGGGAAGCTGGGAGAGCCCAGCTGCTGCTGACCGGCCTCTCTGGCTCTTGGCTGCTCGAGTCTGAGGTGAAACGTTATTTTTTTCCAGCCCGGTGGGGAAGAAAAGACCTACCCTTCACGGGGTTCTACCCTGTCTCTACCAGTCTGCCTCTGTTCTCCCTAAGAGCTCTGGCCACTGGGGGAGGTGGCCTCTTTCACTCAGCTCCTAGACAGACAGCATTCACCAGTGGCCAGACCCTCACCCCTCTGGAAAGGGGATGCCTTTCCAGACGGACCGAGTCCCTCGTGGGATGTCATTCCTATGGCACCGTCTTCCATCTGCAGCCGCCTTCAGGCCAGAGTTTTAGGGTCGAGCTCCCTATCGGTATAGGTGGTGCTGCCTGCAGCTTCAGGTTGGAGAAGGCAGCTGGAGGACCAGGGTGCAGGGGTTCAGGTCAGTGTGGGACTTGTCGGGTTTGCCATGTCCGCTACCTGTGCAGGTGAGGACAGACCAGAAAGCTGGCGGAGAGGAGGGGAGGAGCCTGTCACCCTTCCTGAGAGAGCCCCTCCCAGTAGCTTCTGCCGCGTGCCTGTACTGATGGGGAGCTTGGCCCTTCCAGAGACAGCCCACATGTTTGCAGACAGGTAACATTCAGCCAAACGTGGAGGAGCTGCCGCATCAGAGGACAGGGAGGAGCGGCA